CCCTTGCTGATTTTGCAGGTTTGCCCACTTACAAAGAATGCTTATTTTTCCTCATCAGATGGTTATCAATTTTTATAAATTCATATGATGTGATTTTCTGGAATTTTCTTTGGGATTCTGTCTTTCACTGTTAGAATGTACATATGATTAAAGTTATAGATCGTTGCATTCTTTGTAAGTGGGCAAACCTGCAAAATCAGCAAGGGGTCAAATACTTATTTCCCCCACTGTATGTCTGTAAAAAGGACACTGTTCCTTGTGGGCAGTCCGAGTGGAGAACCTGTAGTAGCTCCTGAAAAAAGGGCACAGGGAAGACAAAAGAACAAACAAGCAACGAAAGCAACAACACTGGTAGCAGGACATTAATGAACTTCTCAGAATTGTGCAGCAACTGTACGGAAGCCTCGATTTTCTACCAGAAGCTCTCTCCCTGATTCCCCTGAGATGGAGGCAGCTGAAAACCGAAACACACACATAAACGCACATACACACACGCAGAAATACAGAAATAGTCAGGGAGTGAGAGTTGTTCTGAAAGAGTTCTGCAAAGCGTGAGACTTTGAATCCTCTCGTGTTTCTCACTCTTGTCTATTTCTGTTCTACATAGTCCACTAAACAGGCTTTTCCACCCAAGATCTGAGTCTGTCGTGGATGTCCTCCCGACGACGTAGTGAATTTGGGCTAAGTCTTTCAAAAGTTCTAAGTTCTTGCTAAAGCAGTTGAAAAATCTCCAACAGTGGTCAAAAAGAAGCAGAGGCAGCTGGGTCTCGGTCCAGTATGGTTTATTGTAGCAATACAAGCCCACCACACATGAGATGTTAACCAGGCTAACATCTACCCTATTGAGAAAGTGGTCTGCTTTTATACATTCCCTTGGGACTCGGTGACTCCTCCCCGGGCCCCTCCTTTTATGACGTAATTTCAGGTACTTTTCCACCCTTATCTCCATTTTCTTTTTTATACAGTTATCTTTTTTATACCGGTGGAAATTCACCAAGAGTTCTCATTTTTTAAAATGGGGGTCTTAGCCCCTCCTTCCTACGTTTGTTTGCCTTCATCCCCTTAGATATGGTACATGTTTACACACCTGTTTTCTTGCACCTACAGGCACTTAGATGGTTTGTCCTTTGGACCAAGTTTTTCCGCGTCACACAGTATTTTCTTATACAACCTTTTTCTTGATATATGTTTAAAGCACATCGTTAAGCACAAAAATATATTCATTGTAAGATATTAATCCACTACAAGTCTCCACGTCTGTATTTTTTCAGTAGAAGTGCTAAAGAAAACGAGTGCCAAGGAAATAAAGAGTCATCGTTAGTTCAGGAGTCCACTGACTTTGTCCGGACTTTTTTTTTTTTCACAGTGACGTTAGTTGTCATGCTTATCAGATTGTCCGTCTCCTTCTCCTGGACACAGCAGCTTACGTCTGATTAGATTTTCTTGGTCAGATTTCCAGCCATTTCTTGGATTTGACTAAATCTTGGTCAACCAAGGTTTTGTATGTTGACAGAAACTATGTTCCTCCTCTTTCCTAAAGAGCTCTTTTCAGGCCATGGAGTTGAGCAGAACTGGGAATTAGATTTGGATTTCCGTTTTGAAATAGCTGCTGTGGAGTAGCTCGGTATTATCCATGCAGAGCTATTGTCTTGTGCTAAGTTTACAGATTTAGGTGGATAAGATCAAACACATGCAATCACAGAATCCAGAAAATGTAACCCATTACTTTTTCTACTCAAATAGTCATAGAACAAATACAGAACAACAGGAGCAAAACCAGCAGTAGCAGCTCTGAGCGGAGACTCATCCCGTGACCGGAGACACAATCAGAGGAATTATTTTAAGATTATATCAGCTTTGCCTGAAATAAATACATTTTAAAAAAGAATAAAAAGAGAGAAGAAAGCTTTACGCGATAAGGCTGCTGCCCCCCCGGGGGTGAGGACGCATCTGGGTTACTGAAACAGTCTGATTTGGTTCTTCTTTTCGAGAAAGAAGAGATGGAGAATTCAAATCTGAAATGTCTGAGATTGGACTTGAACTTTTCTCATTGGTGGTAGATGCTGTTTCCCCCACCATCGTCTAATGGGCAGAAAAACCCTGTCGCCTTAAAGCTGTTTTCGGCTGGACTGCTTGATGTCTCCCAGAGCTGACTAATCGGAAGCTTTTGAGTTTTGCCAGCAGGAGGAGAAAAAAGGGGGGAAAGTTAATTCAATTCAATTTAAAATGTTATTTCTATAGCGCCACATCACAACAACAGTTATCTCACAGCGCTTTCCAAACAGAGCAGGTCAGACCCTACTCTGAAGTTAATTACAGAAACCTAACAATTCCCACCATGAGCAAGCACTAGGCGACACAGGCAAGGAAAAACTTTCTTTTAACTCATTAACTGCCAGCCATTTTCAGAACAGAGAGTCGCTCATTGCCAGAGTTTTTGGAGCATTTTGACTGATTTTTCAAGAGCCACTGAATAGTTTGTGCTATGACTATGTAAACACCGAACACACCAAAAGAAAGAGTAGACTCTCTTCTTTCATCAGGAAAAAAAAAAAGTGTTTCGACCTTATTCCGTTCTTCCTGGACTTGCGTCTCACCGGCGACATGTTCTCTCATAGCGAACCGTTACTTTTTTCTTATTTGCCCACAGTCTATGCTCATCTCCCATCAAAAGTGGCACTGCCCCCTAGAGGGTCAATTTGTTACTACATACTCTGTCTAGAAGCCGATATTTACGGAAAAACTTTAGCCGATCGTTCCCCAGCCACTCGCATTGAAAAACATAAAAGACGTCTATAGACGTCTTTGGCAGTCAGCGGTTGGATTTGAATTGACGTCTATAGACGTCTTTGGCAGCAAATGAGTTAAGAGGCAGAAACTTCGAGCAGAACCCTGGCTCAGGGTTGGGGATGAGGGAAAGAGAGGGCAAGAGAAGGACAGAGGGAGCAGAGAGAGGCAGCCAACACAGCAACACGTAGACTAGATGAAAAATAGCAATGATATTGATACTAATGATAATGGTAGAAGTTATGACAGAAATAACACCTGCTTAACGCTAAACGCCAGTCCGCCCCATGAGTGGACGACCGTCGTTTTATTGGCGGCTTCTGAAGGCCTCGGCGTCCAAAGGGTGCGACTTTAAAACAAAACGAGCTGGTTTGTTCAACGTTTCACGTGTCATTCCAGAGAAAACCTCCATGTCATTAGCCGTGATGTTTTTTACATGATGGGCGAGCTGTGTGTGTTTATTCGGCACCTTAGACCGATCGGCATTTGTTCCTAACAGATAAACAAAAGACTTTCTTATTTGATTTAATAGCGATAAGAGAGCAAGCGTTTTCGTTTTTTTATGTAAAAGCATCTGATGGGAAATCCATCAAGTCGAGGCTGTGTGAAGTGTATTTGAAGTCACTTTAGTGCATCTTTTTATTTGGATACTAAAAATTGTTTTAAATGGAAAGAGTCTGGAGCCAGACATGGGGACTTTTTACTGTATGGGAGGTGTATTAGCTTAATTGAAATGCCATTCAAAGGCGAGAAAAAGAAAAAATAACGGTCAGAGTGGAAGTCCTGTTGAAGGTTATTGTCCTTAAATGGCAGATTTCGGGTTGGTTTATCTCATAGCTCTTTCTGCATTAGCCATGGGCACATCACCATCCTGAAATCTCTCCGGTCCCAGACACGCCCCAGTCCAGTCACTGGTGGCAAACTGTGGGACTTTAAACCAACCACAACCATGCCCTGATTACAGCAACTCTTTTGCTAACCGAGAAAATCTAGGAAAAAATAAAAATCCGGGTTTTATGTTGTGGAATAAGTTTGTAAGAGACAAACTGGTATGGCTAGTTCCCAGTGAGAGCCTCTCTCCCCCCTCAGGTACACCAAGAGCTGTAACAAAAAACATTTACTAATAGATATTTATGGCATTTTAGTTGTGTTATTGTGATTGGCTGAATGTGGATTTGAGTTTGACCTCTGCTCAGCCCCTCCTTTTTAACTCATTGACTGGCAGCCATTTTCAGAACAGAGAGTCCCATACTACCAGAGTTTTTTGAGCATTTTGACTGATTTTTCAAGAGCCACAGAATAGTTTTTGCTATGATTATGTAAACACCGAACACACCAAAAGAAAGAGGAGACTCTCTTCTTTCATCAGGAAAAAATATTTGTTTCTACCTTATTCCGTTCTTCCTGGACTTGCGTCTCACCGGCGACATGTTCTCTCATAGCGAACCGTTACCTTTTTCTTATTTGCCTACAGTCTATGCTCATCTCCCATCAAAAGTGGCACTGCCCCCTAGAGGGTCAATTTGTTAGTACATACTCTGTCTAGAAGCCTGATATTTATGGACAAGCTTTAGCAGATCGTCCCCCAGCCACTCTCGTTGAAAAACATAAAAGACTTCTATAGACGTCTTTGGCAGCCAATGAGTTAAACATGGCGGCTCCCTGTAGAGCAGAGGAGCACTCGGGTGTCCCATCCCAAAGTATCCATCATCACGACTTTAGGTTGCTGTGTGCGGCCCACTCCAGGATTTTAAAGCTACCACTCTTCCCCTGGAAGAACAACAAGAAATGGGTTACTGTGCGCCGTGGCATGAAACGGCCCGGGAGTCTGATTAGTGGTCGACTTCAGGTTTCCACCACAGAGGAAATTGCTGAATCTTCTGTGCCAAGATACACTGGTTTCAAAGTGTGTAGTGCGCGTGTGTGTTTGGAAATGTTGTACCATGTTCCACGTACCATGCTGAGGGTCTAAAAGTGAAGACTGGGTAAAGCTCCAGCTGTAAGAGACGCTGATCATTGGTGGTGTTGCTAACTTGACGTAGATCTTTCAGACGGTTGCTGTTTGACTGTTTGTAGTTTTGTGGCATGATTAGGATTGTTAGAGGCATTTTCTGTTTTCTAATTACCACTGGGCGGAAAAAAAGAAACATTCGGTTAGTTTTTTTCATAGATTCCATCTCAAATATTTTATCTCTGTTTGTTTTTCAGCTTGTAAAAACGACTAGCTAAACAAATGTAGAAATTTGGAGAGGAGATTGTTTTGTTTTGGCTGATTGTTTCTTTTTAATTTCTTTCAGATGAACGGGTTAGTCTTTTTTATTTATAGATTTTTTTGCTTCATAGCTTTTAAACTATTACCCGGGCGATGGCCACATTTTCTGACGTCAGCATTGATTTTGAGTCTTGTTGTGGGTAAATGAAATGAGCAGCGGTGAATGCACGGCCTGACTCCAAATTAGATGTCCACAAGAGCTGAAACCGTGCCTTACGAGGCCCTTTGAGAATCTGTGTGCGATAAGATTAGGAGAATTAGCTGCAAAACTGATTGAACTTGCATGGTAAATACGGCCTAGCTTGGATCTGAGCCCACACAGGTCAGGGCCTCTCTGGATATCTTTGGATTTTTCGTTCAGGTTCGAAAGCAAAATGTGTTGTCGTCAAGGAATTGTGACTAATAATATGGTGTGATTTTTTTTCCACAGAGGATAACACTGGATTTGTTCTCGGAGCTGTCGGATTCGTCTCATCGTTGGTGGCCATGGCGATAATGATCAAGCTGCAGAACAGGAAACAAGGCAGGTGGGTTTCAGAAATGGGTCCCCGTTCAGTTCTGCTCCTAAATCAAAGAATGGATGCACACATTCATCAGGGTTAAGACTAGGGTTGTCACGATACTAAAATGTTCAACTCGATACCGATACTCAGGAAAATATTCGATACTCGATACCATGTTCGATACCACAAGGATAAAAACAAAGACCCCAAAATTTAACTGAATTTCGATAGGTTAGTGTCTTTGGTTTCAAACTGACCTGTTACTGATGTTATGGTGGCCCTCATTAATGACCCTAACCCTAACCCTAACCCTAACCCTAACCCTAACCCTAACCCTGACCCTGACCCTGACCCTAACCCTTCATAATTGTGAGAAATAAATATTTTTTGGTTAAACTTGTTTGGATTTATTGTACAAAACTATTTAACATACACTATTTTAACATTATATTAGTTTCAATCAGTGTTTGCAAGATTAATTTAACTATTTTTAAATGAATGTCTATATTGCCATGAAGCAATTAGGATTTTCTTGCCTTGGATCTTCCTATTGGTGACCTAATCAAAATGGCCGACGTGGATGTGGGGCAGTTGGATATCCATCCTTGGCTTCCTGCAGACTTGATTAATGTTGGCGTGTTATTATTAGCCATTAGCCGCAGCTAGCAATTCAAACCTAACGTCACGTTAATGATCATAAACAACGTAAATAAATAAATAAATCAGAGAGAAGGGGGGGGTATCGATACTTTTGAAATGAGTATCGTATCCGGATACAACGTTTTAGTATCGATACTTTTTTGAGTATCAGTACTTTTGACAACCCTAGTTAAGACCTCGGTTGTTTAACTTTCTTCTCTGATAAGTGTAAAATAGAAAAACTAAATAGAAAATTCATGTGATGTCCATGAAACAGGCCTTTAATTTGCCACAAAGACGAGCCGTAGAATCCAACATACCTCTGTTTATCTCTGTATCTTTAGCCCTCTCTCAGTCTGAATCACCAGTGATCAAGTCTCCACTTGTCATCCACGTACCAATCAGAAGCAAAGACAATAGTCTACTTTTATTGTTCTGTAGACGTCTCTATAAAAGTGCACCTATTCAATTTATCTGTCAATCGACGATATGTAAAACTTCAGAACAGCCCATTATCTGGTGAATCTCGTACGTTAGCCGAGGGTCTTCCTCCCCTCTCATTTCCTTTGTGCTGCGCTAGCAGAGACGCACAAAAGCAACAAATCCCACCTGCTTATTTGATATCCACCACGGCCCATCCTCCTCGCAGAAACCCATAAATTTCCTCTCTGATCTGATCAAACCAGACACCCTGTGGGATCATGCTCATGAACGCCGTCCGGAGGGAAAAAAAAGGGGCTAACGGTAGCGGTAGTGGTAGCGCTAGCTCCTGGGCAAACACAAGCAAATGAAAGGCCTGTTTTATGGACTCGCGGTCCTCGTTTGGGGCTTTCCCCCCCATCATAACTCTGGCAAAGGGGAGGGAAAAGATGAAGGGCAGAAGTTAAGGGCCCCTTCCAGCTCCATGGAGACGCTGCAAGGGGCGAGGAGCGAACACACCTGCCTCCTTTTGAACCCCTTGATCGTGGGATTTCAGGTGGAAAGAGATAAGAGCCAAAAGGCCTGCAGATGTGAGGAGGGGGGGGGATTTCACACCAACAGACACACACACACGTACACACAGCATGCTTGCTGTATCACTACCAGAAAAGAAACCGACGCCTACGTTAGCCAAAACATTTTACGTCTCTGCATTTAGCATTTATCCAAAACGACTTTTATCCAAAACGACTTCCAAAAAGAGCCTTTAACATTCAGTTCTAGCTCCAGTTCCACACGAAGCTCACCTTGAGTGCAAAATACTAGAAGAGGATTTCACATTAAGGGTTTAACGTTCAGCTATAGCATAGCATAGCATAGCTATAGCAATCCTCGTTGCCAGGGACCGATGGGAAATTAGATCGTTGTCTGGGACCGATCGATTAAAGAAATTGGATCGTTGCCAGGGGCCGATCAAAAGTAAACAATCCTTGTTGCCAGGGGCCGAGGAAAAAGTATTTGTTTAGTGTGACAGGATCCCATACATGTTTCTGTTGACGATCGTTGTTGCTGTTGCTGTCGCTGTCGTTGTCCTTATTGTGTTGATTATTTTTCTTTTCTTGTTTTTCTGCTTTTAAATTCTCTGTGAAGCACTTTGAATTGTCTTGTACACAAAAATGTGCTATACAAATAAACTTGCCTTGCCTTGCCATAGATTACACAGGTACCACACATTGATGCTACATGCTACATGCTAACGGGAAAGAGGAGCTTTCGGAGCTTTCTCTTTCTAAACGACTCCCTAAGAAAACCAAGGCGAGGGAGTGTGATCACGGTGGTTGCTCCCGTGCTCTTCCTGTCTCAGACTGGCGGGGGTGCTTTCCACGTCTAGGGTTACTTAGCAGGCTGCGACAGGTTGGCTGGCAGCTAACCACAGGAAAGTCATTACACCGTGAAGCGAGACTGTGTGTGCGCGCCGTCATGTATCTTCCCCGGCTGTACGACACATCAAAAGGGCGCATGGGGGCCTCGGATGAGGAGAAAGGTTCCAGGCAGATGAAAGGAGAGGGGATGGGGGGTTAGGGGTAGTGTCTGTAGTGTTAGGGTTAGGGTTATGAAACAAGTATGTTTCATGAAACATGTCACACGCTACAACATTTTAGCTAAGGCTAATTCTCAATGCCTGTCCCCAGTTAGGCTTTTACACAAAACCCAGTGACTATACACAAGGCCCAACAGAACAAATCACACACTAAAACATCACAAATACAAGATCAGGTCAGTTGGATTATTAATGTTCACATGTCCGACCTCTCAATAAAAAGTCTGTAATTTAATGTTTAAAAAGGACCCAGTTTGACTCTCTATAGACGTCAATTCAAATCCAACCGTTGACTGCCAAAGACGTCTATAGACGTCTTTTATGTTTTTCAACGAGAGTGGCTGGGGGACGATCTGCTAAAGCTTGTCCGTAAATATCAGGCTTCTAGACAGAGTATGTAGTAACAAATTGACCCTCTAGGTGGCAGTGCCACTTTTGATGGGAGATTAGCATAGACTGTAGGCAAATAAGAAAAAGGTAACGGTTCGCTATGAGAGAACATGTCGCCGGTGAGACGCAAGTCGAGGAAGAACGGAATAAGGTAGAAACAATCTTTTTTTCCTGATGAAAGAAGAGAGTCTACTCTTTCTTTTGGTGTGTTCGGTGTTTACATAGTCATAGCACAAACTATTCTGTGGCTCTTGAAAAATCAGTCAAAATGCTAAAAAAAACTCTGGCAGTATGGGACTCTGTTCTGAAAATGGCTGGCAGTCAATGAGTTAAGACCGTCTGGTGTCCCTTGTCCACCTCCTGACCTCCTGACAGTGTTTTCCTCTCTTATCTGAGACGTGTCCCTGACTTGTTTTCTTCTTTCTTGTGTGTGTGTGTACTTTCAGAAAGGGAAAAGCAGACACTTACGAGATGGAGACCCGAGCGCGGAGTTGCTAAAGCCTCAAATCCCAGAGCATCTGTGTGACCTTTTTGGAGCTTTTGGGAACCACATGCTGTCCCAAAGGGCCTGTCTTCTTGACCTGCTGACCTTTTTTTTCGGGAGAACATCAGAAAGCAGCTTTTCAGCGTGTTGTTTGGTTCAATTCCCTCCCCTTGTTTAGTCTGGAAAGGCTCCAGGTCGCGCTAAATGGCGCGTGGGGTGACGACTGAGGGAACCGAAGTGAGGGGAAAAACGCCAGCGATTGTTTTCATGTCCCCATTTTGCGCGAGCGAACACCCAGAAAGATAATTACGGGAGCACCGCGCGCTGATATCACCGTTCCAATCAACACTCCCTTCTCCCCCTTCTGGTTTTAAAATAGGACCAGATGTGCTCAGGCTCATGTCGAACGCGAGGTGAACCTGATCGCTTCTCGGGTGAAAACCTCTGAACGGGGGCAAAGCCTTCAGTCAAACGGAGGGCCGGAAAAATCCTCAAACACTGAACGAAGATCGACTTTTCTGTAGGCGCCAGATGCCTATTTCATGCACAGTTTGGAATTTACCTGTATTATGTGAATTTGATATTTCATTTACACTCAGAAGTGATATTAATAATTTAAGTTACATGGTTAAAAATGTGAATTTAGAATAATTACATGACGTTACTTAGTGGGCCTTTAATGACATTTGAATTCTGTAAATTACACACTATGTGGTGCCTTAGATTTAGATTAATGAAAGTTTATGAGACATATTTTCATTTGTGTTTGTTTTTGTTGTTATTTTTGTTTTAAATAAAAATGCTAAACACCAGAAGCCTATTTTATGCACAGTTTGGAATTTACCTGTATTATGTGAATTTGATATTTCATTTACACTCAGAAGTGATATTAATAATTTAAGTTACATGGTTAAAAATGTGAATTTAGAATAATTACAGGACGTTACTTGGTGGGCCTTTAATGAATTCTGTAAGATACACACTATGTGGTGCCTTAGATTTAGATTAATGAAAGTTTAGGAGGCATATTTTCATTTGTGTTCATTTTTTTGTTATCGCCTTTGTTTTAAAATAAAAATCCAAAACCTGACATCAGTGGAAGCAATAGTTTTTTTTGGGGATCCTGGAACAATGTTCCAACTTGTGACGGATTAAGTTGAGATTTTCGAAAATACCCTACATTTTTCTTTCTTTTTATTTTAACCGTATCAACACTCGGTTGTGTTTGTAATGTTTGCAGGATGTAACGAGTGAGGTCAAGTGTTTCTAAAAGAAAAAGCACGTTTTTAAAGGACTGTGCGCTAACCAGAGTGGTGTCATCTGTTTATTTTATGTATTTATTTTTATTTAACCTTTATTTTACCAGGAAGTCCCTTGATATAAAATCAGCCAGAGAAGAAGAGCAGCCCTAATTGAAATAAGCTGTCCCTCAGCAAACGATGAGCTTTTAAGGTTTTTCCTGCGTGTGAGGGCTGTTTCCTGACTACCGGTTGTGCCGTCTGATTCTGGGCTCTTGTTTGGCAACTTTATTTATTTATTTATAAATATATAATATATATATTACAAATATATTTCACAATTTCAAACATCTATATGATATTGTGTAAAAAATAAAAAAAAAATAAAATAAAAAAAAAACGAACTTAAGATCCCATTGTTAGGATTAGTGTCTGTAGTGTTAAGGTTAGTGTCTGTAGTGTTAGGGTTAGTGTCTGTAGTGTTAGGGTTAGTGTCTGTAGTGTTAGGGTTAGTGTCTGTAGTGTTAAGGTTAGTGTCTGTAGTGTTAGGGTTAGTGTCTGTAGTGTTAGGGTTAGGGTTAGGGTTTGTAGGATTAGGGTTAGTGTCTTTAGGGTTAGGGTTATGGTCTGTAGGGTTAGGGTTAGTGTCTGTAGGGTTAGGGTTAGTGTCTGTAGTGTTAGGGTTAGGGTTAGTGTCTGTAGGGTTAGGGTTAGGGTTAGTATCTGTATTGTTAGGGTTAGGGTTTGTAGGGTTAGTGTTAGTGTCTATAGGGTTAGTGTTAGTGTCTGTAGGGTCAGGGTTAGTGTCTATAGGGTTAGGGTCTGTAGGGTTAGGGTTAGGGTTAGTGTCTGTAGTGTTAGGGTTAGGGTTTGTAGGGTTAGGGTTAGGCAGCCTGTCTGCAGAGTCCGCCGCTGATTGATTGCGTTTGGATGAGAGCAGAGGGGGTTTTCCCGCTCCAAACCCGAGTGTTTACGCCCGCTTAGCATGTCGATTAGCTTAGCCCCGTTCTAAAGTGCTCTGTGGAAGCCTGTTGCGTTCACATGGGACTTTTCCCCGACTCTCAGATCTGCCCAGCATCCCCGGATTAGGGCGACAGACTTCTGAAGAGGCCTTTAGCCCGGGCTTTGGTTCTGAATGTGCCTTTATCTCACATGTCAACTCCAGCTTTGCTGCTTACCTCCCGGTTTAGCAGCTCTTTCTGATGCTAACCTCTAATTTCGAGGCATTGGTTGGAATAGATTGATTTTGGGATTACGCTGTTTGCCCAAACACAAAGTCGGGCCACTATGAACGTTACAGTTAATATTGGGGGAAAGATGATTGCAGCTTAGAGAACTAATCTCAGTGTAGATAAAACAAAAGCTTTGCGTGTTTTATAAACTGCAGTTTTCTCTTGATGTTTTGCTTTTAAAAAAAAGGGATCTAGCATACATATAAATACGTATATTCTGTACTGCCGTAGCATTTTTTTGTTTGAGTTGACGGCACCAAAACAAAATTCAAGCTGGGACTCCTGGGAGGGAAAA